CTGACACCAGGAGCTCAGGAATCCTCCACCGCCTAGGTCTGCGGCTTCGTTTACTTCGTGCAGATGCCATGAGGGAATTAGTAAACAGCAAATACTGCATTGACTTAAATGAGGTCCTTATAGAGCTCAGATGGTTTTCTGAACTGAGGGTTTTTAGAGGTAGAGCTGGAAGCCACCACATTCATCCGTCTGTGCCCCCCCCCCCCCAGCTCTGTTAATCACACCCGAGGAAAGGTGGATGTGACATCACCCGAGGCCCACAGGCTGGCATTGAATCGCTCCTCCTTTTCTCATTAAGTCACCAAACTCACAGCTGCCCCCCCCACAGACACATACATACACACACCTCACACTCTCTCTTCTCCCTCTCAGCCTTTGCTTGTTTCTGTGAATCAAATATTTATCTGTTTATTTTAGACATCCTGGCTCAGAGACTTCATCTGCTAAGTGTCCATTGCACACTTGTAACCTCAAACCCAGTATCTTCAAGTGTCCTGTCATAAGATATGGACCCCGGCCCGTGTTCATCACAGCGGGTCATAAAGAATGCTGCCGTGTGGACCAGCCGGATGTATGAGATGTCCGTTTCATGTCTTTTTAAGCGTCTTGGATAAGGAAGGCGTTTGTGAGCGTGGGTGAGTGTGTGGGATGCAGAGGATAACCCTGCCTGTCAGTCCCAGCCTTCCTCCTAGATGGAGACAAACTCTCTTTGTTGTTTGCCTCTTTCTTGCACCACAATGGATGGCCCTCCCGCTTCTGGAGACTCATGTTTTGCCTCTGACTGTGGGAGCACATCCCCTACGCTTGCATTAACGTGGGTTCTGGGGATCGGAGCTCACGGACCTCACGCTCGAGCAATAACTGTCTTACTCATGGAACCAGCTCCCCAGGCCAATGAACAAGCTAGCCATTCCTTCTTCTACGTCTTGGTTCAAATGTGACATCCTCACAAAAGCCTTTACCCTGTCTTACCCAGTGCCCACCAGACCTGTCTCATTCAAGTCGGCCAGCAAAGACATTTTGTGGGTTTTATTTTTTTATTTTATAGGGGGAAATATTAAATAGATATTCATTTATTCATTGTTTTCGTTTGTACCTGAACTCCCACCCCAAATCCTACACTCACCAGCTAAGAGCCTGGTCCCAGCTGGTGCAGCCAGTCACTGACAGGTGGCTGGATCACGAAGGTTCTGACTTAATCAGTGATTAGGGAGTGTGCACGTTCACGCACACACAAACACACTCGTCTTAACACGATGACATTCTAGGGAGGTGAAGGGAAGGAAGAGGAGAGGCCTCCTTAGAGGAAATAGGTCCAAGTGCACTGATGTGCACTGTTAGTACTCAGGCATCTGTACTGGCCTGTCCTTGGGCTCTGGCAGGACACGCCCCCAGCTGCAGCCACTAAGAGCATCACCTGTGCACATTCACTGTTTCTTTTTAAAAGGTCCCTGCCCACCTTCCATCCTTCTCTCCTCCCCTCCCTCTCTCTCCCCTCCCCCTTTCTTCCCCCTCCTCCCCCCTCTCTCTCTCCCCCTCTTTCCTCTCTTCTCTCTCCTGCTGTTCCTTTCTCAAGGCTGTCCCCCTCCCCTTTTCCCTCTTATGATCCCTTTCCCTAATTAAAACAAACAAACAAAACCCCTCTGCTTGAACCTTGTCTCATGGCATCTTTCTCTCGAGTGCTGCTTTTCTTCAGTTACAACATGCACACCTTGTCCCTGTCCCCTTGTCTCTCTCTGCTTCTCAGGTGCAATGGTTCAGTGGTCCCAGCTCACTGTTCACCGAAGACCCAGACACCACACAGACAGCCACATGAACTGCCAGCCTCAAAACCATGAGTCAAAGAAATCCTTCCTCCCTGAGCATTGTTTCCTTGGGTATTTGCCAATCTAGCATTTTCATCCAATAGTGTGATTTGAGTGTGTGCTGAGAGCCATGTTAAATACGGCAGCCGTGGGCCTGGAGTGGTGGATGGTGCTTAAAAATGCCTGCTGCTCTTGCTGACTGAAAGCACCGTGCCAGGGGGCTCACAACAGCCTGTAGCTCCAGCTTCAGGGATCCAAACCCTTCTTCTGGCCTCCAATGGACATGAACATACACATACATAAAAGGATAAAGTACCTTTTTAAAATGTGGGCGAATATAGGGCAAGTGTGTGTGAGGGCGTTGGTCTTGAAAGGACGTCTGGACTGAAGAGAGGGTGAGGATGGAGGAGCAGGGACTCCGAGGGGAGGGCTTTTCATTTGAATCCTTTAAATATGTTTATGTGCATGGGAGATTTGCCTGCATGTGTGTCTGTGCATGTAGTGCCTGCAGAAGCCAGAAGAGGGCATCGGATCCCCTAGAGTCTGAGTTACAGATGGTTTCCAGCCAAGTCGGTGCTGCGAATTAAACCTGGTCCTCTGAAGGGGCAGCAAGTGCTCTTAATCGCTGAGCCGTCTCTCCAGCCCCCAGAAGGGGGGTTTCTGAGCTGCCGTGAGAGAATGGATAGAGATGAAGATGAAGACTGTGGGGTTACTGTCCGAGATGCAGCTTGGATGTGACTGCCCTGTCCTCCTCTGACCATAGCAAGTCAGTTAAGATCCACACTGAAAACAGAGAGGACTTGATGCACACCTCAGGGGTATATGTGCATATACGGAGGATATGCACGTAAACCAACACCTTCTACTGGACGTGCCCTGCATCCCTCAGCTGGAGAAGCCCCTTTGGGGTTTGGGGAAAAAACAAAACAAAACAAAAAAACAAACAAAAAGCACTTGGGAGGCAGAGACGGTGATGGGGAATTAAGGCCATCTTCGCTGCTCTGGAAGCACACGGCGGCCAGCCTGGTTACGGGGGACTCTGGCTCAAACACAAGACAACATCCCTGCTGCTAAGGACCTAGAACAGTATTCCTTCACTTGTAGTTTCATTTCTAAGTGTCATTTTTCTCTGGCCAGTTGGAATCTGAAAATGCTAGCTGAAAAATCCCAGAAAAAATAATTCATAGTTTTGAAACATCAGGCCATTCTGAGTAGCTCGATGAACCCTTGCGGCGAGTCTCTCCCACTTGATGTCTGCAATGTTGTGCTTTTTGCTTCTTCTCTGGCGTGTCCATGGAATAAATCCTACCCTCCATAGCTGGCTTGGTCAGCACGCCAGTTATCAGTGCTGCTTGATGTAGCACTCAGCACTGTTCTTGGTTTCAGGTGGAAATTGCCAAGGGTGGAGATTAATGGAGAGACGAAACTGCCCAGGTGTGGGCAAGGAAGGCGGCCTGACATTCCTGTTGATGGCTCCCGCCACTTCAGTTTTGTTCGGGAACGGGGTTGTAAATTTAGATAGACTTGAACGACGTTTCCAGTTGGTGTGTGTGTGTTCTGGAAGAAATGACTGGTTTAACTGGTTTAGGGATGAGCAGGAGTTAGGGATGTTGACAAGGCAGGAGGCAGCTTTGCCGTCCTGGAAGGGGGAGGCATGCTTTCTTGAAAGGCAGAAAGACAGTATCATAGGACTTACTGGACCAGTTAATGTCACAGGAAAGCCTAGAATCAGGAGACCTGGGTTTTGCTTGGTTTGTGTCCTAGGTCTGAAAGACTGTGGGCAAGCCTCCTCACTTCATGCTCATCTGTAGAGTAGAGGCTGTTTAGTCCTCGGGCTTTAGCCAGCACCAGGCCTTCCCCACCCTCCAGGCCCTTCTGAGCTGGGACTGGACCTGCTCGCTGATTTCAGCAGGTAGGGCCGCCATCTGACCTAAAGAAACCAGTGACCCCGGACGAGGCTCAGAGAAAACCCAGGGCTCCATGGAGAATGGTCTCTAACCACCACAGAACAGAGTGAGAAAGAGAGAATACTAAAGGGTGGTATTCTTTGCTTGACCCTGCTCAAGGCATACTGTGCAGGAGGCCAGCTGAATGTCATTTCCTGCCCAGATTCCCTGGGACATCACTATTCCTGCCACCAATGCTCTCTCTCTCTCTCTCTCTCTCTCTGTGTGTGTGTGTGTGTGTGTGTGTTCATATGCATGTGGCGTATGGTGGTCTCTGACCTACACACAGAAAGCTAGGAAGTAGGCAGCCCCAGGATTTCTCCCTTTGCTGTGCTTTTGAAGCCATGTGACTTCAGGCTAGCCACCACCCCCTCCCCCCCCAAAAAAAAACCCCACACCGCCTGTTTCTTCTCCTACTGGAGGGAGACAGTGACTTGTTATCACAGGGTGAGTGGGCAAACTGAAAGCCTAAAGGCTTCACCGCCCTGAGCAAGGCCAGGGGCTGTCCATGTGAACAGCTCTGTCCCGTGAACTGCTTCTGTAACTAGGAGGAGTTTTTGTGCAATTGGCTGGGGGGTGGGGAACAGAATGTCTTCTGCTCCGTGGAAGCATGAAGAAGTCTCTCAGAAAACAACAACGAAACTTCCCTGAGTGTCTCTTCCAGGAAGTAGGGAAATTTGTGGAGAAACCAAGCATCCGGCACACAGCATGTTTTAAAGAAAATGAAAACCCGAAAGTTTAAAGAAAAGCTCGGATCTTTGGGGAGGATTTAGGAATTGTGGAAGGACTGGAGGAGGATGGAAACGGTTCCTCGGTGGAGGTGATACCAAGTGGACAATCGGACTCAAGGCGACCTCAGGACAGGAGGTGCCATCTTTTCAGGAAGTCCAAGCTTGCAGAGGAGGCTCTAGTCCTCCCCAGGAAAGCCTCGGCTGCAGACGCCCCTAAAGCCGGGGGGGGGGGCAGGGAAGAGGCTGCAGATAGATGTTTTCCTGGGCCCTGAATTGTGAGGCGATCCACAGGCGTCAGGCTAGCAGGGCTCTTCTGTGCTCAAGTGGTGCAACCTGGAGGGCACAGGACACGAGCGCACTGGCTCGAGGGCTCAAGCAGGAGGCGCTCTAGGACCGCCTCCACCTCCTCGCCGGCCCTCAGTCTCCTCCTCCCGGCATTGGGTTCGCAATCCCCGCACTTGAGAAGCCAGATCTTGGTGGAGACCTAGGAGCTCGCTGCTCCGGAGCCTCCCCCAGGCTTTGAGGACGTCCCGGTCTCTCCCCTTCGTGCCGCCGCCCTCGAACTGACTTGGAGGAAGTGATCTGCGGCCGGGGCGGGGAGCCCGGCGCTGGGTGCGCGAGGGCGCGAGCGGCAACTGTCCCGACCGGCTGCGGAGAACCCGCGGCTCGCCCGGGTGGAGCCGGGATCGGAGGGCTGGGGGCGCGGCGGCCACTCCGGGAGGTCGGGCGGCGAGCGTGACCTCACTGGGAGGGGCCAGCGCGCAGTCCGGGCTCAGAACCCATCGCAGAGAGCGCCGTGCGGAGCGGATCGCAGCAGCGCCAGGGGCGCACGCCGTGGCCGGGATGGAGCGCTACAAAGGTGAGGGCGCTGGGCGCACCTGCTTGCTCCGGGGAAAGAGGGAGGAGTTTGTCGCCCCGAATCAGGTGACCAGAATTGGCTGTCTAAGCCCAAGAGGGGGTGACCGAGGCGCCGCGGGTTCGGGGTTCGGCTCCTAGAAGTAAAACGCGGTCCTTTGATCTTTCTGGGCGCCTGGGGTCTCTGTCTGGAGGTCAAGGTGAAGCTCTCACCTGTTGGAGAACCAAGGGTGTGTCCGGAGTCATCCTGTCACCCCCCCCCCCGTTTGCCTCGGGAAAAGATGTCTTCAGTCGAGGGGGCCCAAGCAAGGTCTCTACAGTGAGAGGGCAGAAGAGCGAGTTGTAGCGTGCTTTAGGTGGGTGCTACCTGGCTGAGGGGCTTCTGGCAGATTCCCGGAAAAGTCTTGTCGGGTGGTAAGGAAAGCTGCTGTTCTTGGCTAGGTTCTCCTCTCCACCGCTTGGTATCCGTGCCTCTCTGAGCCCCTTGCGGACCATGCACCCCCCCCCACCAAGCTGCAAGGGGTGTGGGTTGCGAGCCCTGTGGGCTGCCCAGCAGGTGGAGCGCCTGTAGGCGTCCTGGCAGCTGAGCGAGCTTGGATTTGGCTGTGGCCAGGGATCTTGGCCAAACCCTGGTGGGCGGGCCGGCCCGGATATGCCCGAAGGGTTTTGGAGCCCAGGGGCCGGAGTCCAGAAGCCTCGGATAGTAGGTCCTTTGAAAAGGGGGTTCAAAGTGCTGCCCCTGAAGCGGATATTTCGGTGCTTCGCCACTTGTCTTCCTCTGGGAAAACCCTGTTGCATTGACTTTTTTTTCAGGGGTTGTTGAGGCTAAACCTGCGAGAGGAAATTCTGCCTCTAAATTTCTTTTCCCGTGGGAGGGTAATAAGGGGAATGCTCAGATTCCCAAGGAATCTTGCCCTAAACAAGTAAAATCTTTTGACTTTCCTTTTGCACCTTCTCATCGGGATTATTAGTGACCAAGGTAACCGCAGAGTTACCTGTAAATGGGTCTAGGCGCTAAGGTCATTGGGGTGAGGGAGGGGCGGCAGAGGAAATCACTCGGCAAATGCAAAGTTCAGTATCTTTCCCTGACCTCTCATTGGGACCTCTCTCCCCTGTCTAACCGGGTGGTCTTATGTGAGTTTTGGTGGAATGTGGTCAGTTTTGTTCGGGAAAGGCTGAAATGGCCCTCATGCAGTCTGAAACACTTGGAGGCCACAGCCCCTTTCCTGGTGAAATGTCCTGCTCTCACCTCCACCCTGGGCCTCTGGCCTTAAGGGGGGGGGGGCTGTTAAATGGAGGGGGGAATTGAGGCCTTGGGTGCCTTTTCACTGGAAATGCTGGCTTCCAAGGTCCCTTCGGCTCCTCAGATTGTGAAGCTGACGCAGATCTTGGCCCCAAATGAAGGACCCAAGTTGCAAGCTACTTTGCCCAGGAAGCACACTGATTCAAGTTAGTTAACAGGCACCAGGTGGGGGAGTGTTAGCCCAGGGGTCATCCACAGGTTTTCGTGTAGTTTCTGAATTGGCCCTTGACAGGATCAAATTAGCTTAGTTTATCTTTCTCTCCTGGGAGCTGAAAATCTCGTCCACCACCAGGCTTAGTTAGGGGCTTCCAGGTAATTGAAGGGAACTTGGTTTTGGGTCAGTGTTCATTTTAGAAATGATGGATAGACTTGAGGATTACCTGGGTTGCAAAAGATATCCAACCAGCCCTCTTCAGTTGGACTCTGGGGAGAAATGGCTTCAAATCTCTCTGATGTCATGCTGTGAATATCTGCTAATTTTTTCTGGGAAGTATGTGGGGATCTTCTTCCCCAAGCTGTTACATTCTCCTTTTTTTTTTTTTTTAAGATTACTTATCTTTATTTGATAGCTCTATATTCTTTTTTTAATTTTTATTATTTTTTAATTTTACATGTCAATCCCAGTTCCCTCTCCCTCTCTCTCTCTCCTACCCTGTCCTGTTCCCCCCCACACACATGCACCCTGACCACCCTCCCCTCCCATCCCTCCACCCGCATTCCACATGTAGGGCAATGCTATCCAGGTGGGGTCATGTAAATCTGTCAAGTCATTTGAAGTAGGGACTAGGACTTCTCTCCTGTCTCTAGGTTAAGGCAGTGTCCCTCCATGGGGGATGAGTCCACACGGTCCTGTTGTGCACCAGGGATACATCCTGGCTCCACTGTCTGAGGTCCTTAGTATTGCTCAGTCCTTCTGGCTGAGACCGATGTTCAGGGGTTCTGAGTCAGTCCCATGCTGGATTCCCAGCTATCAGTCTGGGGGCCCGTTAGCTCCTCCTTGTTCAGGTCAGCTGTCTCTATGTGTTTCTGCAACCTGGTCTTGTCTTCTCCCCCTGCATCTGGATTCTAGGTCGACTCTGTTTAGGTATGGGTGTTTGCTTCTGTTTCCAACAGGTACTAGATGAGGGCTCCATGATGGTGGATAAGTTAGTTGTTGATCTCACTATCCGGGAAGGGCATTTATGGTAGCCTTTCCACGGTTGCTTAAATTGTTAGTTGGAGTCCATCTTGTAGGTCTCTAGACCTTTCTTTAGGTTCAGTTTTCTCTTCAAACCAATAGTGGCTCCTTCTTTTATGTTCTCTCTCTCTCTCTCTCTCTCTCTCTCTCTCTCTTTCTCTCTCTCTCTCTCTCTCGTCTTCTATTTCTACCCTGACTCAATCTTCCTAGTTGCATGTGCTTTCCTCTCCTCCCCCTCTCTTTCTTCTACTTCTCTCTCCATTCACTGCCCCCCCCACTTCCCCTGTGCTCTGGGGGACTTGTCCCTTCCCCCTTCTGTGAGGGACTTTATATGAATTTCTTAGAATACACCGTGTATCCTAGTTCCTATGGCAGTGTGAATTATAGGCTGGTGATCCTTTGCTCTAGGTCTAAAATCCATATATGAGCGAGTACATTCCATGTTCCTCTTTTTGTGACTGGGTTACCTCATTCAGGAGAGGCAGATGAGTCGAGCTTTGGGAACTTGAAAAATGAATGCTATGCTCCATGGCTAGTAAGCCAGGACCCTGGCCTGGACCAGGTTACTCTTGCTTCTCAGACACTGGGGCCCTTACTTTTTTGGTTAAGGTTTTGGGTTATTAGAGTGCTTTCCTGGCACGTGCAAGACCCTGGGTTTGAGCTCCAGCCCACACGTATGACTGAATAGTTACTGGAACAAAAAGGTATAGTGGTTTAAATGATAAAGTTAAAGAGAAAAACAATATTTATCTGGGCTCCTGGAACTTATGTAAAAATGATCAAAGAATTCTGATGGTATCTGACTTTTTTCCTAAAATGTAAATGCTTTTATATTTCAAAATTTCCGATTTTGAGCTCTCTTTTCCACATGGGTAGAATTGCTCATTATCATCTTCAGAGTCCAAAGGTGTTTTCTCTAACTTGAAAGCTGCTGTGGTAGGAGAAAGATGTTTTCCATGTCCACAGCCTCCCTGTTATCCATTGTGCCTGTCCCTAAGTAGCTCAGGCTTATGTTCAGTTGTCTTGGGGGAGCTTACGATTGGCTGAAACATCACCCTCTGTCTAATACAACAAAACAAAACAAACAAAAGACCTTCCAAACTTTTCTTCCAGCTCTTTCCAACCCCTTAAGCTAGATCACCAAAGCTTTCTCAAGCAAAGGTAAGGTTGTGTGGGAATAAGTGAGGGTCCCTTCTCAGAGGAATGGAGGTTTTCTAGAAATTTCTATAAAATGTTGGTAAAGTCACTACACCTCGAATGTGAATCTCTTTGTCACCGGATACGCGGCGAGACCCCTACAAGTGTCCCAAGATTCGTTGCCAAGGCCTACAGGGTGCCTTGAAAAGTTTCCCATCCTTGAGTGTTTATATATTTATGACTCTCCTAAGAGCATCCTGTATCCCTGTGCGTGAGCCCATTGGCTGACCTCACCCCATGCAGTCAAGGATCCTGGTTCCTATTGCTCTCCCAGCTGGTGAGTGGGTCCAGGGCCAAATGTGACTGACCTAGTATCCGTGGATCACACTTGGAACATCATGCTGAGGCTTCCTGAAGTTGCATCACACTTGGATCCTAACTGGCCTGGCTGCGATGTGCAGACTTCATTTTAGATGGGCGCAGGCCTGTCTAAAATGGTTGTGGGGGGTGAATCTTCCTTCCCTGGTAGCCTTTGGTTTTGTAGTCAGGTCACCGTTTCCTTAGGTGACTTTATGGCTCAGGAGGGTGAAGGGAGCTGTGAAACATCGTCCAGAAGACGACATGTTCAGAGCTTGCTGGGGAATCTTGAGAGCTGTGGTCAGGAAGGGTCTGAAAAGAAGAAAAAATATCAAGGGAAATAAAGCAGATGGATAACTTACAGTTCCCCTTCAGGGATCGTCTTTTCTCCGTGCCCAAGAGCTAGCTAGGCTTGTTCCTTGTTGTTTGCCCTAAAAGCAGTGGCGCCTATCCTTAGCTGTAGATGGAACCAGGTGTGTGTGGGCCTGGGGCGGTGAGGATATGAAGGGGTCCATCAGCCATTCGGGGTTCAATGTCTAAGGAGCGTGGTTTGGGCACTGCGGCTTTCAAAGGTCTTCAGGTCACCCTGAATGTAATCCAAAGTTGAGAATCACATTTACTTTAAAAAGACAAGAAAAATCAAAGTAGAGAAATAGAGGAGGAGGAAGTTGGGGAGACAGTTGCCATGCAACCATAAGGACCTGAGTTCATAACCCCGGCACCCACGTAACAAGCCAGATATGTGGTGTGTGCTGGCTGGCCAGTGTAGCTGAAAGAGCAAGCTCCAAGTCCCCATGAGACTATTTGTAACTTCTAAAAGAAACATAAGGTGGAGAGAAATTGAGGAAGATCACCTGACAGCCTTTGGCCTACACGGATATGCATGCATGAGCACACACACACACACACACAAGCATGCACACATGCACAAGCAGGCTCATGTACACACACACACAATGGAGTGCACATGCATGAGCACGTGCGCGCGCGCACACACACACACAGTGGAGCGTGCATGCATAGTGTGCAT